GCCGGTTTGCCGAATTCGCAAGATACGGTGCGCCCTTCATCTTATACAGGAATCAGTGACGAGGGGAGTGGATTTGGTGATGACTTGACTGCCGAGCAAATCTTGGCTGTAGCAGAGTCTATGGACATGGAAGGAACGGACTGGCTCTCTTTCGCAACGTTGGACGACTACCAAATCATTGATCCGAGTATCTAATGACCACTATCACCACCATACGGACCACGCGCAATGACCAGGACGAGCTTCACGGGAGGCGCACACAAGCCGAAACCTCTACATATTCGCCTTCACCGCTTCCTGTCCTTGCACATCGCGAATCTCTCTAACAGTTCCTATCCGCCAGCTCACATCATGATCAAAGCTCTCTCCCTTGGCCTTCTGCTTTGGCACTCTCCAACGCCACCTCAGAATACTCTGCTTTCCGTCGGGTGCGTTCAGCAAGTTATCCACCCACCTTCCGACGATCGGGAACATCTTGAAACCATGACCGGAGTCACCCGACAGTATCATAACAGAAGAGGAAGTGTTCGGCACGTAGTCGACGATGAAGTCCGAGTCTGCTGTGTCTGCGAACCAGCATATGAACTTCTCGACTAGGGGTCGATCGGCGAGGTAGGGCAGTGTTTGGCGGAGAAGTTCGCGCATCTGTTCTTCGTCGTCTTTCGGTACGAAGCGCATGAGCTCTTGCGGTGCTTCAGAAATCCCGGTGCTTGGGTTAGTGTTGATGTAACCACCTCCCATCGGGCAAATCTTGAGGAGATTCGTCTTTGGGTCTGGCTCGAAGAAGAAACCGAGGTCGCGGGCGTATGTTACTGGGATACCGCGGAGTGCTGCCGTCTCGTCGTCGGTAAGGCGGACGTGTGCAACTGACCATGATTTCGCGGACACTTCGGCACCGACCTCAGGGACAATCTTGTGGGCTGCGGCACCAACGGCGACGATAAGTAACTTGGCGGCATGGAATCGCGCAGCCTTTGTTCGAACACCGATGCTCTTTCTGCTCTTGCCTGATCCCTCATATACGATCTTCTCTATCGCACCGACTTTCGCACCCAAGAAGAATCTAACGCCATTCTTCCTGGCCTCGCGATAAATCCCTCTCAGCGCATTGGCTGAATGCACATAGCCGTCGTACTTGGACACGTATCCCTTCCAGCCGGGCATGTCACCGGTAAACTGCCAAGCTCCAGCTACATCACGTACGTCTTGAGGGCCCGAGATGGGATGAAAGAAAGGCTTCATCTCCGGGTGCTTCTCCGCAGCCGCCTGGAACCGGTGCAGCGTTCCCACTGCTTTTTGGGATGCAGCACCAGAAACAACATTAAGATAGCCAACCCGGTGGAAGTAAGGCGCGTAGAGGGGCGTTTGCCAGGCGTGGGTGGCTTCCTTTTGGTATGTCAGTCGTTGCTCGAACGATCAGTCCCTCATAGCATTGCTCGGGGTGCAGACAGCTACATACCACGGCCAGATCTGTATAGAAATCTTCTTCATATTCCGCCCGCATGATCTTGTTCAGGTCGTTGCCAGCAGACCATCGGGATGGAATTTCTTCATCTTTCTCGAAGACCGTGATGTTGGTGTAGCCTTTCCTTGAGAGCTCAAGAGCCGTGGAGAGACCGAAAGCGCCTCCCCCGATGATAGCTATAGCGTCGCTTTTAGAAACGCTCATGGTGATAAAGCCAGGAAAGATGCGAAGTACGAGTGCAAGGATAAACACCTTGAAGCGTCACAGTATGTCATGAGACCCTGGAAGTACAGGTGCAGTCGTGCTACGTGAGTGTCCAGTCCATACATGACACGAAGCCATCGACCAGAGTCTCGCCAGACTGTCGATACGGGATCGTGTCCGCTGTCGCATGCATTGTCAGCCCCCGCAGATGTTGCAAGCGTTATCGTCGTGTTGTGATGCTTGCTCCTGACTTGCCCAGTGCACGCTAGTGTTATCGATAAGGTCGTCCCCACACAATGTCTGACGCTGTTTGGTCCGTGTCTTCCCCCTTCCTGCAAGGTCGGATGGCCTCCCGACACTTCGAAAGCGAGACTTGTATCGCCCAACCGTGTTTCATTTCCTCTTCTGGCATGATGATAGGTTGGTTTGTTGGCATTACGGCGACCGAGCACAGCCGTGATGCCTGTGACCGAAGGTCGTGCGGTCAGCGATAGGTTCCACATTGTCAGCCTCCAGCAAGTCCTTCTTCGTACATTGGGTATCATCTTCTAACGGCATGCTAGAAATGTAGTCAAAAGAGCACTCTTAGACAGGATTCTCTTGCTATATACGTCTGGGACATAGTTCTTGAACTCATTCCGACAGCGACCGCTGTTTATCGCAACGAAGCTGTGTCCTACATATGGAAGCTCTGTGCACACCATATACGGCCAACGATAAGCTTGATAAGAAAGTTGCTGCATGGGTGCATAGTATGATCGAGCACTTGCCAGCCTCGTTCCTCTTCTGTCAAGACGCTTCGCCAACGTACTTTCCCAAATAGGTGGAAGACGTGCGCTTTGTTCCGACATGTTTTCTCAACGCTGCAACGAGATCATGTATCGAGACAATTCATACCTCCTTGCGCTATACGGGCGGAGTATACGAGTGTTCACAAACGTAATACTCAAAAGGTAGCTTCGCTCTTATATTACGCCGACATCGTCATGCATAACCCGATCCAAGCCGCATCGACAATCAACCCCGCATTGGCCTACTTCCAGAGGGATGTCGCGTTCGGTCATAATTACCATTGGTCTCGTTCTGCTTATCACTTTGCCTCTTGCATTATACTATTGGTAGTGCCGACCACATCCGGACTTTCCACGCGATTCGGCTGCACGTCCGAGCTATGGATCTGGACGCGATAGTCACGAGCATAGCGATGCCCCACGTTCGAGACGTGGAGCGGGGTCGTGCATCATATGGTAGAGATATGGTTTGAGATAAGGAAGGCGATGAAGAGGTAGAGTTGTAGGAGCACTCTACATATCAGCTTCAATCATCTATCCTGAAACACTCTTCCATCTTTGGCTGGTTTCCTTAGTCTCGCCACCTCACATTGGATTCATGATGCTTCATCAACGGCTTACTAGATCAACAATGCGAGCAGTAGCGAGCAGGAAATGTCTTATCAATGGCTTCAACACGTTCGAGACACGTCTCAGCTCTACAACTGCACTGCCACGGATGAAGGCTTCGGCTACACAAATATCAAACCCGTCACCCACACAATACCCGCTATCAGCAATGCCGACGCACATGTTGCTCCGTTCGCTCTTCGTCGCCACAATATCGTCTAACAAGTTCCTTCTGATACCATCACTCAACCTGCTCTCCTTCTTCTCGAAACCGAATCGAAGCCTGTTGTTCAATATAGATCGAAACCCTGTATTGAAGGTTGTTTTGAAGAGAACCCTGTATAATCAGTTTTGCGCCGGAGAAACACAACAAGAGACACGAGCTTGTGTAAAGCAGCTGAAGGATTTGGGATTCAAAGGGGTGATCTTGACGTATGCGAAGGAGATGGTGTTTGATCACAAAACCAAGTCTGCAAACCATCATACCTCGGATAGCTTTGTCGATGAAAAGACTAGTATGGCGCATGATGCAGACGTCGAGGCATGGAGGGTAGGCACACTAGGAACACTTGATCTCATCTCCGAGGGAGACATCTTAGCTCTGAAGTAAGTATAGTTACGATGACTTACTGAATGTATCACTGACACTTTCTAGAACAACAGGCGGTGGTCCAGCCGTCTCATCAGCATTCAGTAAAGGCGAGCTTCCATCCCAGCAAATGCTTGACGCCCTGGATGAGATAGCGACCCAATGTAAAGCACGCAATGTCCAGATCATCATCGACGCTGAGTCTCAGCACTGGCAAGCGGGCATCGCTCGCACGACACTCGAACTAATGCGCAAGTTCAATCGCAATGGTAAAGCTGTCATCTACAACACATATCAAGCCTACCTCAAGGACACTCCCACAGTCCTCGCACACCATATGGCCGAGGCGGAAAGAGATGGGTTTACTCTTGGTCTCAAGCTCGTGCGTGGTGCATACATCCTCTCCGATAACCGCTCCTTGATCCATGACACCAAAGAAGACACAGATAACGCCTACAATACGATAGCACAGGGTGCGCTTCGTCAGCAAATAGGCAGCTTCGGGGCATCTGGATCATCTGCCCGCCGGTTCCCTTGTGTAAACCTCTTCCTCGCATCTCACAACCGCGAAAGCGTGCTCTCGGCCCACAAGCTCCACCGACAGCGCTCGGAAGCCGGCCTACCTACTGTTCCTGTCGCTTACGGACAGCTTCACGGCATGTCAGATGAAGTCAGCTTTTCCCTGTTAGCGGAGAAGGGGGCAGGTGGCAAGGCGCCTGAGGTGTTGAAATGCACCACTTGGGGTAGTATGGGCGAATGTGTGGGGTACCTACTTCGGAGGGCTGTGGAGAACCGCGATGCCGTGTTAAGGACTAAGGATGAGTTTACAGCGTTGAAGAGAGAAGTTAGGAGGAGGTTCTTCTGGGCGTGATAGCAACTGGCGGGATCACGATCAGGATGCAAATAGGGATAAAGTTGACAAGTATACATGCTCGTAAGACGCGTATGAAGTTTCGTTCATAATCTAGATATCGTAGCCCTAAGTTTATTCAAATGCAAGGACTTCCTCGTCATGAACTATCGGCTATCATCGGTATCTGGGGGTTATCTTTATCAGAAGCGCGTTCGGATGCAGAAGGGATGCATGCGCGGAGGTGATCTCCGCCGTCGCTTTCCCCGCGAGAACAGCGCAAAAGAAAAGTGGGGACCGGTTTCCTTCCCGAGACCATGAGACGTGTCTGTCAATGTCAACGCATGAAGCTGGAATAACATCAGCTCGGTATCAGGAAGCCTCCTAAAGCTCTTCTAGAAGAACTGGAACAATAATCAAGAGCCTGATTGAGCAGAGCTACGTCAAAACTCACTTTCAGATAAGGAAATACCGACACACTCGCAAGCAATCATGTCGGACCAAACATTATGCATGTTAGGATGTGGTAAGTGACTCCCATTGAGAACAAAGACGAATTTCGAACGAGACGTCTAAACCTACTCTTGAACAGGTAATCTCGGTACTGCCATCCTACAGAGCCTCCTAGACGCCCCTCCCAACTCGTTGTGTGGCATCACCCAATTCATCGCCTGCGTTAAGAGCGAACAGTCAGAAAGCCGACTCAAACGCCTGTTCTCTCAACACCAAAATGTTCGCATCATGCGAAACGAAAATTTAGCCGCTCTCAGAGATTCACACGTGACCATTCTGGGCGTCGATCCGTCACAAGTAGAGGCAACACTAGAAGGAAACGAGAACGAGCAGTCAACCGGCTGGGGACCGCCCATTGAGAATGCGTTAATGGGAAAACTGCTGATCAGCATCGTAGCGGGCTGGACGCGTCCAGCTATTGAAACGCTGATCAACTCCGAGACGGATTTAATTGACAGCCGTTATCCTGATGCAGAAAGAGCATGGGTTTTACGCACCCTCCCCAACGTAGCGGCGCTTGTTTCGCAATCCATGACTGCCATCGAAGACCATCCCTCGCCTTTATTCCCACCGCAGTTCAAAGACATAGCAACAGCCATCTTCGCGCAAATCGGAAAACCCATGTTCATACCACCCGCTCTTATGCCCGCCACAACAGCCGTAGCAGGCTCCACACCCGCATTCTGGGCCATCATCGTCGACAGCCTCGTCGACGCCGCCGTTGCTGTTGGGGTACCACGCAAAGTGGCCCAGAAGCAGATCTACCAGAGCATGAGGGGCAGTGCGGAGATGCTTCAGAGTGGGATACAGCCGGGCGAGCTGAGGGATATGGGAACGAGTCCGGAGGGGTGTACGATTGCGGGGGTTATGGTGCTGGAAGAAGGTGGAGTGAGGGGTGTGTTGGGGAAGGCGTTAAGGGAGAGTGTTACGGTTGCTAGGGCGATGGGGAAGGTTGGGGAGAAGGGTAGGGAGGTGCATGTTAATGATACTAGGAAGATCTAGTGAAGGTCATCCGATTTCGAGTTGAGGCATATGATACAAAGGCCTAAAGTACAGTCAGCATAGACACCCAAAGCATGAGAAAGCAAACCACACCACCACATCACATACACACAGGCAGCGAGGGAAGGTTTAGAATCATCAACATCTGCTTACTACTCACTACCTACTCACTGGATATAAACCATACCACAGCACGTCAACCGTCGCCGTAGCGTAAACGTACATCCATCCCGACTAAAGGGGCGCATGTGCGTGCGAACACAAACTACGCCTGATCCTGTTGAACCCATGCTAATGCACCTGCCTGTGATCAAGGTATTTCCCCCACCTTTCGCTCAAACCGAGCTGTCCTTGAAAAGATATAAACGCCAGTTGGTAGTAAGGTTGAAAACGCCAAAAGTAACCCAAATAGGTATACCGGAGCTAAGTAGCAAATGAGATCTGATGTGACGCCCAAAGGAGAATACACACGTGGTTGGTTCGGAGGTGGTGAAGGAAAATATACACGGTAATGTAGAGTGTGACTGTGTGTGTGAAATAAGAACAGTGAATAGTTGCGTTGATACTTCCTTCTCTTTCTTTGTTCTTTAGCCTTCTTTGGGCTTTCAATACTGTGATGACGATGTTGTCATGTTTAGAGGATGCCAGCCCACATGCCTGGGCCTTGTGGGCGGTAGGCTTGCGCGACCTCGGTGCTGCAGCACGACCTCTTCTTGCCAAAGTCCTTCTGGATAGGAAGACGCGAGCAATAAGGAACAGTGTTCTTAGGGGACTGCAGCCCCTTTGGTTCACTGCGCGAGAGGGCGAATGATTGCGACACTGATCTATCAGGAAGCACAGGCTTCTGACCACGAAGGTCGAATGCGGAGCGAGTGCTGTGAAGCAAGTGTCGCACATTCTGCTGGAGATCAACTGAAGACCTTCCACGCTTGCGGCTTGCGGGAGTGACGCACGCAGGGCTGTCGACCTTGCCTGGCGACGAATCCGAATCATCAATATGGAAGCTGTCCAGATCGGGTGAGGACATGGGCTCACTTGGAGCATACTCGTACTGCTCCTTGCACTTCGACAAAACCGGGTACGGGAGCTTCGCGCTGCGGCAGGTCGCCAACCGGGCCAAGCTGGCCTGGCTTTGGTTTGGCGCCCAGCCGGCAGACGAGACCGACGAGATTGATGAAGCACGAGAAGTGCGCGAGTTGTCCGAGATCATTGACTCTGGAGAGGACGATAGAGATGAGTTGGAAGGAGCCAGGGAAGGTCGTCGGCTTGGGAAGTGGTAAGCTTCCAGTCCGTTCCTGATGCTTGGGTTGAACTGGTCTACACAGGTGCGTGCCAGTGAGGAGCACTGTGCCTGTTGCATTGCCGTGCACATCGATGGGCGGCGCGATCCGAAAGCCATGGCACTCGCTGCAGGAGTGTTGCTGGTGATGGATTGCGGGGTCAAGGATGGGGTTGGTAGTGGACCCAAGCGAGCCAGGGATGGCAGTGACGGAGTGTGGGGAAGATCAGGCTTCGGCTCCAGGAAGCGAGGCACTTGATAGCGAGATGGAGTTGGTGTGCTCTCTTGCGATCCGTAGCCATCCATCGATGGGCAGCGGTAGGGCGACGCGTTCAACTGAGGCCTCAGAGGAGGACGTACGGGAGCGTTTGCTGACTTCTTGGGAGCCAACTGGACGATATCCAACTCAGGTGTCAAAATAGGAATGACATCTTTCCAAGTGTTGGGGATGCTAGCGCCAGGTGATGGCGGAGGAAGGGTAGGCGTGTGTCGCAGGACGACTTCTTGCCACTTCTCCCATACCGAATCAACGATGTGCAGTTTCCAGTTGACAGCTTCGAGGAAAGCCATCTCGTTGGTGTTGATTTCGCAAACCTTGAGACCAGAGATCTTGCTCCATGCGCGAGCCGAGTAGTTGCGGTCCTGTAGGTACTTGGATGCGAGGATAAGCGCAGCAAGGAACATGCGACGACCACATTGCAGCGCACGAAGAGATGCGTCTTCAGGCTGGGACATGGTGAAGTCGTGCTTGGGCAGGTAAGGCTTGATCAAGATCAAGTAGTACAAGGCAACTTGGAGAGTCGAGTAGCTGGTGCGAGAGCGACGGAGGGTCTCCTGGATGAACATGCGGAGAGGAAGCACTCCACGTCCAGAAGCATTCTCGCAACGGCTCTTAGGCTCTGAAAGTTGCCAGATGACCTCGACCATCTGAGTAGCGGAATCTTAAGGAGGAATAATCAGCGGGGGAACCATGGTCCAGGGATAAAACGTGTACTAACCGACGAGGCAATCGACGAAGTTGACCTTTCGGTCGGATTGCCGTACCAATTGAGGTGGGGGCTTCTGGTTGACAGTGGTCGACGATCGGCGAGGATTCTGTCGCTGCTCCAGAGGTGCCAACAGCTCAGTGCGCAGGGAAGGTAATCTCTCCTGTACAGGCTCCCGGCACACCGTAGACTGGTACTGAGGATATGTGCTAACTCGGCTGATGGGCTGGAAAGCTGACAAGCTCGCAGGGTCGACAATTGTCGGCGGTGCCACTTGGTTGCGACTCCATTCTTCTGAGTCCCAGTTTGAGTGAGACGATGTGGAGCTTGCGCTTGACGCTTGTGACGCAGCGTCTGAGAATACTGAGGAGGTGGAAGAGGAAGCGGAAGAAGAAAGAGGGGCGGCATAAGGGTGGGTCTCAGCCATGTAGCCGTGGCTAGGGAGAGGAATGGCAAGACTCATGGTGAAGGAGGGGTATACAGGACGGGGCCTGGTAAGGAAAGGTAGACAATAAGGAGTGAGCGGAGATGGGACTAGGCTTTGTCGTTACGTCTCGAAGTGCTGACCGTTAGGTAGACCTGGAGGGGTGGCGCAGAGCGTGATCGGGTGGTCGTGGGGTGACCGAGAACTTAACCGATAGGACAAACCGTAGAGGACAACCCTGTGACCTCTGACGTATAATTCGAGACGCTGTTCCCTTGTTGGGATCTTTTCCTCGATCGCGAAATCTCCTCCGTCAAGTGGCCTGATCGTGTGTGATCGTGGTGTGACGGAAGCGGTCTAACGGTCTGAAGAGCTGGGAGAGGGTAGGTTTCGAAGGCGGAACGTATACGTAGGAGGTTGGTAGGGTTTGACGAGTCGCAAGTGGAAGTAGGATTCGAGCAGTGTCAAGTGGTCGAAAAGCTGCCAGGTGCAGACTAGAGCGGGCTCCAGTCACTGTCAACTGCAGAATCACCGAAACAAGACCGTGGTAGAAGACCGTCCGCGAAGCACTCTGATGATACAGCTACTGAACAGCGGGCGCTGTCGCAAGAGCTGGATGTCTGAGGGGATGCGGGGGTCTAGCAAGCGAAGCCTTGGGCGAAGGCTTTGGTTTCGGAAATGGTGGTGAATTCTGAGCGACGAGAGACTGAAGTAGTGTAGGCCGAATGGCACATTGTGGTGATGAGGTGCGACGTGGGAAGCGTTCGAGGATGGTGACTACCTTGGCGGGATCACCAAGCTGAGCGACTTCGCGTGTTCGCGGGGAGTGCGATCGGGTGTTTGAGTGTTTGTTTGTTGCAGGTGTTTGTTTTATTATTATTGGGGGTTGGTGTACATAAGAGCTGTTGGTGGTGGAGTTGGGAGGTGTAGGTCTGACGTGTGAGGAAGTGGCGGTCGGGAAGTCGGTAAAGGTGGGAAGGCGCGACTAGAGGGCGTCGGATCGCGACGCAGGTACGGGACGAGGAGGTATAAAAGGACAGACTCTCTCGTCTCGACGATGACTGGAAGCGCGAGATGAGTCTATGCGGTAGGCGGCAGTGTGGCGGCGACAAAGGTCGATGCGGAGACTGCTACCTGGACAAAGATGGAATGGGTCGGTTTGGGTAGGTAGACGGGTAGGCGACAGAGAACAGACGACACTATTCGCGGTTGGCGTCCTAGATTAGGCCGCAGGGGGCGCTGTAGATGTTCGTGAAGTCCATTGCTGCTGTCTTGATGAGGGTGACGGGCTGGGCGGCGCTGGCGATACTAATAGGAACCCCGTACCTACAGCGCCCCCAGTCCAGTCATCGCACCCGGGCGCACTGGCCAGCTTGCCTCTTTGCCACACAACCCAACCTTGGAAGACTCATCGCGCTGGCTTTTTTTTATTTGCCATCAGCCAGACATGGCAGTGCGTGATTTGCAGCTGCGTTGCTTGGGCAGCGACGTCGCTCTCTTGCCCCCACCGCACCGCTGTTGCGTGAAGCAGTTGCGGGTGCTCTGCCCTCATCTCGTGAGGCGTGAGACGCTCCATCATCACGCATGGCTCCAAGGCTACAGGCATGCCAACACGGCCTGCCGCCATGCCTGGCGCAGCGGTAAATGGCCCTCTGTAACCCGCCCACTCCCTGCGCGCGCTGAGGCTGTTCACGCTGATTGCGACGCGACCAGCTGCTGCGACACACGGCGTCTCCTTTTCTTTCACACTAGGCGCGTTTGCTCTCGAACGCTCCGTGCCATGGTACGCTGGTAGCGCCAGAGTCGCAGACTGCCTGCTACACCCCCTCATTCTGCCTCTCAGCTATGTTGAGATGAAGGGACCGGCCGACTGGGAGCCAAGGACGCGTCTTCCCATTGCCTGCCGCGCCATTGGACGTGGAGGCGACGCCATGCCAGGAAGGGTTATTTTGTGCCTTCACCGTGCTTTTCGTGGCTATATTTGCGGCCGACCCCCTCGACGGCTGCTGCGACGCTCGTAATCTCAGCTGCTCAGCACGCGACGCCCTCATTTGCAGCCTAGCCGGCCGTCGCGGTGCCGTGATGCAGCAGCGATGCAAACACGGCAGGAAATGCCTCAGCGCAATCGCCATGGCACACAAACCCATCGCGATGACGCAAACGGCGCAAGCAGCAATGAACTGCTGCCAACACATCGCCGCCTTGCGCTGCGACGGCCCAGCTCCACTCCCCTCACCGCAGTGGCTGATGACGCCGGGCCTCTGTCCCAAAGCGATGCCAAACGCGTGCATCCGCCTCTGGCCTCGGCTCT